GGAATGGCGCAGGGAAGGTTAGAAACCAATGAACATTATAATTTCGCATTTAAGATTGTCATATCTTGCTCCAAGTGACCTTATACTCACTCTAAGTGAATTATCTCATTTCAAGGTACCTCAGGCTTGCACAAGCGAGTCTTGACAGAGAGTTTCGGGTGGCGCTCGCTTTGAGTGAGCTTTATCTCGCTTTAAGTGAGTTGATCTTGCTTAAGCAAGTAGAAGGACAAATTTTATTTTGTAGTCTTCATGAAAGTTATAAACCTAAATGTTAGATTTCAAATGTCATTAGAATCACTCAAAAAGGAGGTATGGAACTCAAGTGATGATCAAATTAGTGAGCAAAGATTAGATTGTCAAATTTAGGCTAACATGTTGCAATTTTGTATTTTAAAAAAATATTAGATGGAAGAATTAACTTTTAATATTAGCATAGAAGTTATAGATAATGAGTAAATAACAATGAGATGAAACAATAATACGTTATTACTCATTTAGAAACTTTCATCTTAAACTCTTAATTTGTTGTAATGAAAAAAAAAAATTAACATGATAGCACGTCACCAAGAAATTTGTGGTAACTAATAAATAAATTTTTTTAATTTAATCTTAAAATTTTAGCAGAATATAACAATTGACGATTAAAAGGATATAGAGAGAATCATGGAACTATATAAGGAAAGTGAGAAATTTCAATGCGATCTTTATTTATTAATAATATGATAAATATAAAATAAAATAAAATAAATAAAATAAATTACTAAGATATTGTATTATATATCACACTTTTATCTTTATATTTAATATTATCGATTTATTTTTATAAAATTATAACTAAGTTTTTATTGAAAAATAGATAGATATAAATATTATAATTTAATTATGTAAATTTTATTTTTATATTATTATAAATTAAAAACAAAATTTGGTACTCTTTTAAAAATAGAGTCCTGGCAATCGTCCACTTGACTGTATTGAGGACTGCCACTGCTAGGGACTAGTCTATATATTAAGGGTGGATATTATTCACTATTGAGTGTCCACTGTTGTGAGAAAATATCTGAGATTTTGTAGCAGTGAGAAGCAGAAATGAAGAAGAGAACATCAACCGTTTTCCTGATGTGGGTTATGGGGATTTGTCTCCACGCACATATCAGCATTGCAGCTGTGTCCAAGTCCAATGGCACCACTGCTCATTGCGATGGTTCCGTAGAGGAATGCCTCATCGTCCACCACATGGACTCACAGCTTCCCACCATCTCCAGCTCCAACTTCCGCAGAATTCTTGTTACACTCGATCAAAGAGTGGTTGGTCATGCAGGCAAAGCTAATAAACCGTTCTCCGACTGTAAGTATCTCAGTGGTGGTTATATAAAGTGCGGGGCCAGTGTTGGTTCGGGTACAGATAACCATTGTGCTGAAGCTAATTATGACAGGCTTTGCCATAATGTCAACCCCTCCTAATTCACGATCTCTAAGATGGAGATCGCGTCGGTCAAGCTATATTTATGTATTTTGCTTCTTCCCTCCCTCCACTGTTGTTGTGTTATGTCTCCATCAATGGCCGTTTTTCCGCTATATATATGTTGCAACTTGCAAGAATAACATCCATTTCCTGAACTGGACAATTGTCAACATGTGTAATATGTACAATTATCTGCTTTCAATTTATTCAAGCATGTAATATTTCATCTCTTAAAGTAATAACTAATAATAAAAGAGTATATATTGATCTCTCTATCTTGGCTTTTCTGTGTATTCAACCTCAACGTGCTGCAACAAAACAACTATATATGCTTCACTTGTGTTGATTTGCGCTGCAAGATCCCTTGTCACCATTTATTCTCTATTTTTCCATATATTTGCTTTCATATGAACTGCGAATATCATATTGTGACTTCAACCTTATCACACTCCCCATCACTTTAGTTTCTAATTAACAACAAACAAAGTTTAAATATGACGAGCGTCGTCAGACTTCTCTATATCTATAGAGTGTGAGATGAGAGCTCAGATGGCAATCGAATTACATAGCCACAATCATCATCGTCAAATATGAGAGATGAGAGATAAAATACAGGCTTATTAGGTAGTGACCCCGCAAAAGTTGCATATGGTTTATCTTATAGTTAAGAAGAACCTTTTAATGGAATCTAATTTGTCTTATATTTTATATTTTTTTTATATAAATTTATACTAGTGATAGAATTAGAATAAATGATTCATAATTTTATTAAAAATCTTCTACGAAGTTATTAATTAGTTTAGAAGGGTAGTACTATATCATAATTAATTTAAACTTTATGTAAATAACAAAATTTAAGTAGTACACGATCGTCAAGGATCTCTAGCTACAATCATATTCAGTCATTATATAACCTATATTTAAGTTTTTAACTTAAAAAATTAAGTATATTTAATTACATATCAGGCGGTGGAGCCGTCGTAGTGGGGACACTTCAAATAAAGACATTAAATTTGGTTGAATTTTCTTTTCTTTTGTTTGATTTTATTTCAAGTTATTTAATTGGTTAACTTAAATTCGTACAAATGTGTGTGTAACATTTTCATATCACAGCTAGCTCTACTCTATTTATCAACATCTCATTAATAATTTTTATTCTTTTCCTATCACATCACGTCACTTATTATGTCTATATTTTTCATTCCTACTGTGTCAACAAATTCTATCTTCTACGCCCCCTTTCTCGTGAGGTTAAGGAATGAATAAAAGACTAGCTAGAGCTTATTTTCTACACGGTTAAGAAATATCTCCTACTTCACATTTTCTACACGGGGGACTTTATGATGATCATATTTTGAGAGAAATATTAGAGGGGGTAATCCCTGTTCTTAATCACAATTAGGTTGCTTATTTATTTATGAAATGCAATAAAGTCCTCTAATAATATAAATCCACAATTTTGTCAACTAATTTTAAATTTTGTAATTTTAATTTTTAATTTTATAAAATTTATAATTTTATTCTCTATATATATTTATCCGTTAATCATTAAGATTGTACTTAACTTTAGGTAGATAATGCAATAATTACTATTTAATAATATTTAAGTTAAATTATATTTTTAGTTCTCATTTTTTTTGTTTTACTTTTTTTATGAGATAAAAAAAAAGTAACAGTAAAATTTAAAATATTAATTATTATGTTATTTATTTAATATTAAATTATATTTCATATTATAATTTTAATAATTAATAAATAAATATTTAATGAAAGAATTAAAACTATATATGTTATAAAATTGAGAAATTAAAATTAAAAAAATAAAATTATGAATTTGATATTATATGAAAAGGAAAGTTTAATATAACCATAGATATATTATACTATATTATGAGAAACGCCCGGTTAGAATTTTGATAAAATTTAAGTGTAGTTATTAATTATGGAATAAAAGTCATTCATTCTATTTCATTTAAGTAAATCTTATCTTGCGAAATGAATGCTCTGAGAAAGATATCCCCTATCAGTAAGATGGAAACAAATGCATCACATCCTTTTACTTTGGTAAGGGCAGTATTAGGTGAAGACGTATTCTTAGGTACATATACATAATAGATAGGCCATGTGTTAAGAAAAATAGATGATAAGTAAGTTAAAAGTTGTAATGTTAATTAAAAATTGAATAATTAATTTTTAACTAAAAATTTAAAACTGTCAAGTTAATTTATTTAATTAAATGTATTTAGTAAAATTATCTATTAATCTGACAAATAAATATAAAATTACATAGATTGAAATATATATATATATATATATATATATATATATTCTTG